TGGTTCGTAAACAACTATTAAGGTGAACGGTGTTATTAAAGAATCTTTTAATACATTATTATGTAATACTACAATGCATTATTATAATACTATAATGTATTTATTACACGGAAATTAAATTTCTTTGAAAAGTACAGGAACATCTCTTGGTCAGCTCATAACAAAAGAAATCGTACAAAGTGCCCGGAGCAATAAAACAATACCATTTCGCGGGCACTTTATCAACGGCACGGCGCAACATAATTCAAAAGGGAGAACATAGAATGCAGTGAATGTTCTTCAATTTTTCGAAACTCCGGTCTTCCTTTGTCTCGCTAGAGCCATCGACAAATAATCGGCCTCCCCTACGGCGGGCTATAATGATATACCTCAGAGGAATATTGCTGTATCCACCTGCCTACATTCGTACCGGCGCTCGGATGAAATTGTCTGGCGAAGTGGCTTACAAATATATTACAATAAGAACGCAATATTCCAGACTCGGGCTTGCTGTATTGGCTATCCGTGAACCGTCTGATTTTCCCTCCCTCCGCGGCTCAAAGGGATTCCCTCGGTTCTTCTCCGTATATCATACACTTGGGCTGAGCCGCCTGCACATCGAATACACTTTGTAGCAGCCAGAGGAAATATAATTTAGTCGATACAAGCCGAGTCTCTCGTGGTACACGCATTCGACGACGGCGTGCGGCGGGGGACGGAACGGAATGGAACTGAACGCCGCGATTCGAAAACATTCGAGTGCTCCGTTTATCCGAACTTCCAGGGTACCAGAATGTTCCCGATCGCTGGATCTGCACGTGTATGCCATCGCTGTGATTGCGACTTTTCGTGGGCAGACGCGACCGTTGTGGCGAGAGTCGATATCTTGAAAACGAACGCGAATTTATTAGTTGATATTCCGCTTTCCTCTTGCCAATGGGCTAGGCATACACGTTTCTGCATAGATTCTATACATTGATTTTGTATCGTGTTCACTATTTTAGAATGCTTAGGAATCTGTAGAAATGATATTATTAACCGTGTGTGTGCCACAAATCTTTCCAAAAACTCGGTCGATAAATGCCATACGCGTATTTCCTTTTCGTTGAGAAAATGAAAATTCTAAATAGTGCGATCATTCTATTTTTCCATTTCTAAGCAGGTAATAACAAAAGTAAAAATAAATAAGTAGAAGGAAGACGAATAAACAAACGTCATTTGATTCTACTTTTAATGTCCTGACTGTGTAACTGGGTTTTCAATGTTTACACAATGAATTTGTTGAGAATTCGAAGGATATTCATTTAAGCCACTTCCGCGCAATACTTTTGAAGTTTTCCGTGTAACCGTTCAGAGGAGTTTGTCCGACGCATCGCGCCTATTCGCTAAACAGGCGCATTTAAGAAAGCAATGTCCCGGGTGGCAAGTGGCCGCGTGTTTGCCCAGTCAATTTCATTAAAAGCTACAGCATATGTCCCGCCTTCCGTTGTACTGTAAAGCCGTGTCCACACTGCTTTGGTTTCGAATGAGAGGCTTAGGCCATATGGCATTGGTGTGCACATGGAAACACGTGCCATGTGGTTCGAACCAACACAGTTTTAAACGTTGCTACTTTTCCTAGTGACTTGTCAAGCCCTATGACAAAGTCGTGTTGCAAATTCGAGTCGGTAGGGACGCAGCGTAAGGGGACATAATCGTTTAAAACGTTGGAAAATAAGCACGTTTCCCGGGTTTATTTACAGCTCAGCGACCTGATTAAAATTTATTCTCTTTTAACTGCATTCATACGATATTAAGGACTGCTCAATTAAAATGTTAGAGCTGTGAAATTATACATGCATGTGTAAAACTCCTTTAAATTCAGGCGGTTCACTGAACACAAGAAGGATCTTAAATTATATTCGAAATTAAGAAAGTAAATATCCCTGTATTAACTTTGAAAAGCAGTAAACTCCCAACACACCGAACAAAAATACTTCAATAGAGCTAATTCAAGACACTACGTAGAAAAAATCAACTTTCAAAACCTTCGAATGTTTATATCGCCTGAAGATGAACCTAGGAATCGCAGTGCATCGTTGCAGGGGGTCGCATCCCCGGATCTCGGTCAATATTATCCCATCGGCCCTTTTCCATGGGGAGAGAGCGAGGCGCAGAAAGCACGCCGGGTTACAATTGTTTGCCGTAGGAATTTTAAAAGCATTAGCAGTCTCGGCAAACAGGCTAGTTTAAAAGTGGAACGAAAGATAGACGGTAGGGTGAGCTCACGTGATCACCGCGGAGAAGAGTGTCGCCGAGGTGTCAATCAACCGTGGAACTCAAATATTTGTCCCGGCAATTATCCGGGTGACACGCGAGTCGAAGCCCGTGGAGCCTGATCCAATAACATGGTCCCCCTGTCCCCGTCTTTTCCCGAATACAATTTGTTCTAACGTATAATTTTCCTAATTACGTCAGCAGCATGGAGCCAGGTTGCTACATACTCCAGCCCGGGGGGTGGGGGGCGAGATAGAGATAAAGTAGAAAGGGAACGAATCGATTTTCCTCGTGGCCGACCAGCTTCTCTCGCCTCGTTTACGCCTCACGTGCAACGGTATCGGGAAAAGGGATGTAGGAAAAAGTTGCGAACACCATGGCCCGCTACTTTGCCTCAATTAATATGCGCTAACGTTATTAATTAATGCCAAGTACCCGCGCCACGCCAGGCGACCGGGAACACGAGGAGTCCTCTCGTCGATTCGTCTCGCATTCGAACCGAGTTTCCCTCCTCCGCCAGACCGTCGCGTCTTAACTTCGACATCAGAGGCTGCCAGACCGTCCCCCGGACGATATTATCTGCAGGAGAGTGCTCGAGAATATTATACGTGCGTGGTGTACACACCCCCGGTATCGAGGGCCAGCTACTTTAACCGTACTCGAGTCGGTTGGAGCAAGAGAAAGGGGGCCGGGCGAGGAAGAGGGACGGTCTACAGAGGAAGGCATCTCCTACCTAACTGTCCTCAGTGTCGACTACTGCTAATCGAATTATCGATCCCTGTCCCCGACGCTCGAAGAGAATATTAGATTTTCGAGGAATTTCAATGCGGCACGCGGACTCGCCGCGGGCTTCTTTCGTGCCCCGCTTTGTTCCCCGTCTCGTGTTAACTGATTCGATCTCCGCGTCAAGGCCCTCTGAAGACGACTTCGTCTTTGATTCGGTTGCCCGGAGGCTAAGGTAATTAGCTGGGGGCCATGAATGGTCTGATGGAAAGGTGACGGGTGATCGGGAAAGTGAAAAAGTGGAGATGGGTGAATTTAAATGTGTTGGAGGTAGGGGTGGGTTAGGTGGCTGTTTGAGAGGAGCTTGAAGTTGAAAACTTAAAAATCGGGGTTTGATATTCTATGTTATTACTATCATCCAGAGTACTGTCTTAATATTATAATCTAAGTTTTGCCTAAATTAAATTGATATTTACAGAAAAGATTTTTTTAAATCGAAATAAATTGCTGATGAGTTCAAGAATCCTAATCTCAGCGATCTAAATTAACAATAACCCGAATAAAGAATTCCAGATCATCGACAGGTATTCTGAACGCTATTCCAATGTTTTTGGGCTTGGTTGCCGCGACCGCCGCGAAAATTATTTCGACGTGCTTGGTCGGATCGTAGCCGCGAAACGCGGCGACAGGTAACTGCGAGCCGCCGCGGCAGCCGCGAGAATTTAATTCAAACGACACCGGGCCAGCCGCGTGTCGTTACGCGCGGTGGACGCCGCCCCAGACATTCTATTTCCAGGTGTTCCTGGGTAGTGATAAATCGTGGAAACGTATCCGGGGGCACTTACGAGCGAGCAACATGTACGTACATACGCGAGACATCACGTACGTTCGTTCGAGGCACGTTGCTCAAGCGGACGAGCAAAGAAAAGAGGAAAACCCTCGGATATAGGGAGATTCTTTCTCTCTCGCGAGTTACGTGCGCGTATCCATGTGTAAAAGAACGAAAAAAGTGGAAGCGGGTGAAGGCGAAGACGGAAGGGGCGGTGAGGATGGAAAATGTCGGGGAAAAATTCCAATATGCCTCGCAACTCGAACGGCTGTGCATAGAATGTGTTCGAGTCCTTGATTGTGCTTCGAAAGCATATTTTTCTCGTGCTTCCGATATTGCAGCGGCGAGTTCCTCTCTTTGTAACTGGCTGCGCCCCTTTCGCCCACCTTTCTTATCCTTCCTCCTTCCTCGCGTCCGAAGTAGCGCATCTGCTTACCGCTGGAAACATGTATTTTTCGGTGACACGCGTACGGAGAAAAAATTGTCCGCAAATGGAAATCTGTACGCCGCACCCCTTTCGGCGGCGGTTGACGGGGAGGGGCGGCGGTGCTTCTGGTACCGCGTTCAACTTCCGTCGATAGGGACTATGCATCATGCACGCTCGCGCGCGGAAGACACCCATCCAGTTGACTGAATTGCGGCTTTATTGCAGGCTGGCTTGACGCTTGTGCCTCGCCTGGGAAACAACTTCCGCTCCCTCCTGTGTGTATACACGTACACACGTGTTTGAATATATTCGCCAGTAGACACATCGCGCGGCGATGCGTGTCCCGGGCGAAAGTTATGAAAACTTGGTTACGCTGGGGGAAACGTGTCCCTGATAAATCGTTACAAACGAGACACTTAGCTACCCCTCTGTTCTCTGGTGTTCCAGGTGATGCATCACTGCCGCGTCAAGTTTCTGGATCAACCGGCAGCCGAATCAAGCCCGTTATCGTCGACTATAATGCCCGTCTAACGATTCCTTCGATCGTTGGTTAGACAAACTGCTGCGCACTCTACAGCGAAGAATAATCAGCGATCCGACCGGAGGAACACGTGACAGCGTGCACCTCCTGGTACATCGCAGGGAGAAACAGGCGAAGGTATCTACGGTTCGGAAGTGCGTACGTGTCGACAGACGATCCGAGAATCAGTAAATGACCGTCGGTGTGTCGTTCCTCGATAACCGTACATCCCGGCCAGAGGACCACGTACCCACACGGGTACGGTAAACACTAGGTACCAGACCAGCGTCAAGATAAAGTCAGTGAGAGCGGTCACCGAGGATGAGCAGGACCGGGTGGTGCCGTTAGTGGTGTACAACAGCTCGCCGGAGGGGCCAGCGGAGGGAGAGGGGGGCCAGGCGCAGGGCCCCCGAAAGGGCCACCAGCTGGATGGTCTAGCCGAGGAGGAGCGGGCATCGTCGTTAGCCACGTCTCCGGTCTGCTCGGAGGAGGGGGAGAGCAGCGGTAAGGTCCGTTCGTCCACGGAGGACCTCGGTGCCGCGTGTGGTCCAGGTCTCGCGGAGGACAATCCGGAACATCGCTCGGACCTGGAATCGGAGGAGCCGGGTCGGTGCGAGGCGACCGAGTGCGAGGAGGCTGCTGAGCCGAGGTTCATCGGCTGCGGCCCGTTATTGAACGAAACACCGGTGTTAGTCCATCAGTGGCGGGATCAACATCGTCAGGAACACCAAAAGCAGCGTGGCGGAAGAGGAGGGGGCGCGGAGAGCGTGGTCGCGTTGGATCTGCAGTTGATAGCCGACAGCTCGGAGGTCCGCGCGAAACGGGCGAGACGGACGTCGGCCGACTGCGTCGGCGACACGTTCGATTCCGCGAGGAGAGGACACTGTCTGGCGCACAGGGTGCACAGGGCGCCGACGTCCTCCGCCATACCGAGGCATCACGTGGAGAGCACGCGAAGGAATTCCAATCGATCGTGCCGGGTTCATGGTCGTCGCCGGGACCGGTCCCGGGGTAAAACCACGGAACGACCGAGCAACCCGAACGCGAGGGATTTGACGTCGAATGAGCTCGAGTGCTCAGTGATACGGCTTGAACAGGACACGATCCTCGAGCCGGTCAGGATACTCGGTTGCCCGCCCGCGGAAGGTCTCGAGATCTCCACCTTCCTGGAGCCGCCGCCTCTCTATCCGGGCATCAGCGTAGCGGAGATCGCCTGCCGCGAGCCGCCCTGCTACAGCCTCTACGATCCGAACAGTATACTGCCGAAGAGTCGTGCCGGTAGCATCGCCAAGATCCTCAAGGGGCCGAACCGCGCCGTGAAGGACATTAACCGGAAGATGCTGGCGATGGCGCGTGCCATGACACCCGCCTGGTCCCTGCGTTTGCTCGGCGTCAGCTGCGGCTCCGTGGTCTGCGCCTGGGGACTTCTGCTGATACTGTCCGTGCTGGGCGGCGGCGCCTCCCACGGCACCGCACTCGGTAGTTTCGGTCTCGGGAGTTTGTCGGGGACAATGGAGGACATGAACAGTGGTAGGTGTCCGTCGTTGTGCACGTGTACACTTCAAGACGTCGACTGCTCTCATCGGGGACTCACGCAGATACCTGGGAACTCGGGCAACCTGCTGATCGCTGAAAAACTGTAAGTCGATTGTTATTGCTTTTCCTTCGATCTGTGTCCGCTTTAGGGATTTCGGTAAAGACACTTAGAAATAAATGTATAAAACTTACTATCGGATAATATTTATCCGATAATATCGATAGAACGGACAGAAATATTTGAAGTTATTGTGTAGCTGCTACGCGTTTTCAGGTTCCTTCAAATGCCTTCTGCAGTAAGACGAGTTTCAAAGTCTAATTCTGAGCGTCGCTGTATATTCCGTGGACAAAAAACAAGAACCGTGCGCCGTGTTATCGACTCACTTTCGCGCGTAGATTCAGCTGAATGCTTCATTACGTCATCATGCCGGCACATAAAGTTCCCCTTGCGGCGACGCACCGATAACAGCACCGGGGAAGTTCGGGGTACGATCGGCAACGGGTGCGCGGATCGTCGTACCACTTCCGCGTTTAATAATTCCGCGACATTGTGAGAGCAAAGTGTTTTCGAGTCGCGAATTATGGACATTCGCGGAGGCCCCGGTATACCGTCCATCGCGATATCATCGATAAAACGACGAGCCGGAACGACGGACGGACGGACGGCTGTCGGGGCTTCGGAGGAGAGAGATACGATATCCTTGACGTTTTATTCCCCCGCGACCGTTGTAACGCGTTTTATTGCGCCCGTTGCGTTTTTATTGCGCCGCTTCAACCCCCGCCGCTCGAGGAAATGCAAAACTATTAAACCCAGCGTTCCTCCGGCCCGCGCGTCGCGGAAATATGCGAGCGGCCCGGACCCGGCCCGAGCGCTTAACGACCATCGTTCAATTCTCTTTCTACGCATCGACGTTCAACTAAAAGCAATTTCATTTAAATTACACTTCTTCACCGCGGCGCGCTGCCTCCTTCCAGCCCGTTCGAAAAGGGCACGGCTGCTGCCGTTGCTGCTTCTGCCTGCTGCAGCTTATCGAGCAGCCAGCCAGCTCGCGACGCAACGTACCGCGCCGCGCCGTGGCGTTCATTGTATTTCATCCGCCATGCAAAAAACGATCGCCTGTCGTCGCGGGAAATGAGACGCGTAATAACGCAATCGCGGCGCGTCTCGATTATCCCTCGCATCCCGGCCCCCGCCACGCCGCGAACCGTATAGACCCGTTCCCAGCGATTAATACGTCTTTTTGCGGGCAAGCTGCGCCTCCGACGGTAATTTACAGGTCGGACCACTCGCAGCGGCTTTTGCTTTTCAAACGAATTATTATCGCCGGGTACCTACCTCCTTCGACCCGCTTTTTCTTTTTTCTTTTTCTCTTTTTGTCTTTCTTTTTCTCTTTCTCTTTCTGTTCCTCTTTCTCCCGGCGCGGGACTATCGGCAACGTTACGAGAACGGAGTATTTACGATGTTCTAACCCCGGTTATTGCGGCTCGGTTCGCGTACTTTCACGTGACTTCGGCTTTTTCTTTTTGATTCGTCGGCTTAATTTGTTCTGCGTTTAATGGCATTGTAAAATCCGCGTTAATATAAATTAGGCAGTAACGCGAGGTGATGGAAAGCCCCCCCGTTCGCTGTAAAACTTTCGACGACACGGCTCACCGGAGGTATTGGCGCAAAAAATTGCAGACTGTGTATTAAAGGTTCAGTGGATTTACGCAAATTCTACGAATTCCTTGAACGCGTTCCACCTGGACGAAGAATTTTTCCTGTTTACTCGTTGTTTTATAAATTCTTTTTGCCCCCGACATCTCGCTGAGAGAAGAAGGAATTTTAGTTTTATTGACTTTTTGCTTTGAAGATTAAATAGCGATGCGAATAAAAAAAATTAAATAATGTCTGTGTTTATTAATCGTTCCATTAGAGAGATTCAATCCCGTGGCGAATTTGGTATTGGTATTTGTATGAAGATTCACCGTTTGATAATTTCTGTATTGGAACAATGAAGCAAATAATTGTTTTATCTCGTATGAAATCATTCTAAAGTGCACTGTACGAATATGAAATTTATTATATTCTAACACCATTAAGTACAGCGTAATTAACAGAATAATAGATATCGAGACATAATTGAATTCAACGATCTATCAAACAAATAATTAAGGAGACAAAAGTTGAACCAGACACTGGCGAAATGATGAGTCGAATCATTGTTCCAGTTGAACAGGTTAGCCCGTTATCAGATATTCAAAGGAATAAAAACTTATTCCGAAACATTTCAATCGCGCTCTCTCTTCCGTGGCGAATCCTCGTCCCGCCTCGACGCCGAAGAGTAATTACGTTCATGGAACGACGGTAATAAATTAAGACGGGGAATATCGATGCGCGAGAATTTCACTCGCGACGCGTCGCGTTCCCCGATAAAAGATCGCGGGACGAGCAAAATAATTTATCAAAGAGTGTCCTTTTCGTTTTCTTGTCTTTCTCCGCGCGCGGCAATCGAGGTAAACCCGCTGTAACGGGGACCCATTAATGACGATCGATTAGCATACGATTAATATGCCGTCGGCGGCCGAAGGGATACCTGCGAATAATTAAATCCTCGAAATACATTATTGCCGGCGCGCCCGCACGGAACGTGGCTCACACTGTCGTGAAAGAAACGCGAAAACCTCGACACACGGAATACGTAATTTTCGTGCGATAAAAAGACGCGACCGCCGAAACGCTTTTTACCAGCGCCAGGACAACCTCCTGGGACACGTACGTTTTAAACTGATAACCAAAGGGTACGAGTGACTTCCATTAATCTTTTTTTCGTATTGATTCACTTAGAAATTTCTCTCGTGACTACCTAAGGAGGCAGGGTAATTAATAGTCGACTCCATTATGAATTCATTAGTTAATGGAATGTTGATTCAGATTGTGGTTATTCCGTTCACAACATTAATTGATTCCGATATCTTTATTTTTCAATAGAGTAGAATATTTTATTCTTCACATTCATAAAAAGATTGAAATAGTGTTTTTATTATGCTGAAAGTTAAATTCTTTAAGTTTTTAATCAATTTTGTCTAAGTATAATTTCTAAATATCCTGTCCAAAACTATTCGTAATTAAATTTTGTTATCAGTTCTTCATATACGCTTCCCTTGTGGTGTCCTATAAACGTCTACCTTCACAAATATAAAATAAAACATGTACCTCGGTCTCAAATTGAAGGTACTCAGTTCATTCGATTCAAAAGACTCCGACATCTTATCAGATGATACATCAGCTGTAGCAGCGACCAGTTGAGACCCACTGTTTTACCTGTTTGCCTGCAGCGACCTGATGTCAAGATAATTAGGGACTCGACCGGCCAGATTTCCCTCTTCGTAACCCCATCTAAATCTGTGGTCTGCGGACGGCTAAACAGTTTCGTGTAATACACGAGTGTAGGTGAATCGATTGGTAGTGACACGGGCCATCAGAGTTTCCAGCGAAATCTCCGGGGGTCGAGCTAGCTGAACTTGGGTCGACTAGCCCGCTAACCTTTACGTTGGCAACCGGGTAGCCATTTTAAAATTTTCTTCTATCTAATTTTGTTGTTAAAATTTGACGAAACTGCTTTTAACTTTCATTTTTTCAATATTTTTACATCAATTTTTGCTTCAAGAATTGTGTTTTGGTAGAATGAAGTTCAAATTAAGTCAATAATAAATTTATATTGCACAAGAATAAAACCATGCAACAACTATACTGTACAACGACTGAAACGCTCCTCATTTCTAAAATATGTCGCGATTACGTTGTTATCTAACAAAATTTACGTAGAAAGATTGCAGTAAGATTCAACAAATACAGAGACTTTGGTTGGCAACGTAAGGGTTAACTCGCTCGTTTCCGGCGAAGCAGCCGGGCTTCGAGAGGCTGATTGTAATAACTCGTCACGAATCTCGGGCACCGGTTTTTAACGATCCCCGCGCGTTCCCTGGAAGTTTCGATGCCGCCGCGGACCAGGTAACAAACCCCGGTTACGGTTTTCGTTTCTGCGCCACGGACGTTGCAACTTCCGAGCGACTTGCCGAGAGTTTGCCCACGCCTCCTGATTTCCGCGTGTAGCCCCGCTAATTAATGGGACTCAGTTTTCTGCAGCCTCTGTAAAATCCGTTCAACTGTTCGCCGATGCATCAGTGCGTCATATTGTCTGTCTGGTCGCCATTTCGTAGACATGTTTTTTTTTATGAAGGAATCGGACGATCTTGATGAGAGCTTCTTTTAAATTTCTTTTTTATAATATCGAACGAGTGTCAGTGTTTTGAAACTGAATACAGTGAATTGGCAGAATCATTTTTTTGTTAATAATGTTCAGTGCGCGGAGTAAATATAAGTGTACATGTAAATAAGTATTGATGATAAAATGATTTTGATCAATTCAGTGGCGAAGGAAATCGTACAGGGGATCAATGAAAGAAATGTATGAAAGAAACTGCAGGTATTGACTGCAAGTTACTCCACACAGAATTTTACAATAGGACCTCCACACATTCATCATACTCTTCGTTTAAATACATGTCATGTTTCCCAACATCTCTTTTTCTCCGCACTCTTTTCACGTTACGCAAACTTTATTCTTTTTATTCGCGATCTATCGCTGTTAGTTTCAAGGAAAAATCTCCCGACAGCATAAACACAGCATAATCCACTGGAATAATGCTGAAGGCGAAGTGTCTGGGATCGAAGGACTGGCGCGGGGTAGGGATCAACAGTAACAGAGACGCGGATGCAATTCACAGGAAACGACCTTGAGCAGTTTATTTTTCCTCGGAGTACAAACGAACCTTCTATCAATCACCGTCGTTCAAACATTTGTAGCCATTCATCTCGCGGCGTGGCCCGGCCTCTCCAAATAAACAACGGATCGATTATCTGTTTCTCAACGAGCTTTCCCGCGAAAAAAGAAAGAAACCCTTTCGGTAACGGCACACGGTTGGATGGGAAGGGCGTTTATGATTTTTCGATTAACGAAACGCAAACATCACGCGGCAAGGAAAACAATCGTGGCTGAGTGGTCGGAGGAAGATGTTTTCCCAAGCGACGCTTGCCGTCTGCGACGCGTCGTCGCCCTA